GTAGCTTACAGTAGATTAAGTATGGTACTGTATAAGGCCGCGTTTCCCAACTTTTTTGGTCGCGGACTATTTTCTCGCCGGCAAAAACCGTTGCGGACTCAAGGTGCAGTTATTGCAACCGCACTCTGTGTGAAGCAAAGCAATAAAACCAAACACAACAGAACTTCAACAAATTTCACAATCGGAAATTCGTCGCAATTACGCGTTGGATAAAAGAGCCGACTTTTTAAGTTCATGGTGGCCTTTTGTGTCGCACAATATTCAATCCATGACAACGACGAGAATTTAAAATGTCTTTCTATTTTATTTTGTGCTCACGGTAACTCGCGGCTGCGTCGACTTACGAAAAGATGAAAGCATTGCTTCTTTGAAATTCCATGGCAATCTGCAAACATAATAAAGTAAGAATATATTGCACGATTATATTTTTTGCGATAGGATAGGATAGAATTTACATATTTATCCCGGGGAAGAGGAAAGGAGATAAGACGGCATATCCATATGGCGAACCACGGCCTCTCGTCCGGTTACCATTCCAAGCCGGGTATGGGATTAGTTTTACTGTATTGTTTGTTTTCGGAAGCATGGACTTGGTGGTGGAGGAAGCCGTAACCGACCAGCGGTTACGTGAACCACCCAACGACGGCGAGGAGTCCAGCAATCCTCTCGCACATAACCATCCCTGCATGGGATTCGAACCTGCGAACCCACGCAGAGTAATTAGAGGTACGGTGGCGAGCGTATTCCTAACGCTTAGCCCGTTGAGCCACACCGCCGCGCCGCGATCTTGCGAATTTGTTATCGCCGTTAGAAAAATCATACTATCTGCTATAAATTTTTCAGAAAGTACAACTAGATTTAGTACTTATTAAAAATATATTTAAAAGTATATTAGTAAATCAAAAACTGTTGACAAAATAAAAGCAATACTACTCAGAAAAAATCATGACAATCCGTGGACACAAAAATGCTTAGTAAAGTGCCCGGTTAAATTTTGTTTTGATTCGTATTTTGTGAATTCGACAAATCTGAGCTGCTCGTAGAACACTTACGGCGCACCCTCCAGTACTGTACGTACCAATGTGGAGGCAGCAAAGTAAAGAATCCTAAGGGGAAATGCCCTGGTACGTATACCATGGTAGCACCCGAAATTTTGCGATTTGCAATGTCTAAAAAGCGTTTTTAATCGGTCGCGGAGCATCATAAAATAAAACTTATGGTGTTCTCCGTTTTATTTTTAGTATATATTTTGTATTGCCTCTTTCCAATTTAGAAAATTTGGGTTGCCACCATTGGCACCTACCAGAAAAAAAAAATTATTTCTCCGTGCTCGAACACTACTTAGGTATCTGTCGACGTGTGTGCCGACTTGTGTTTTCTTCGAAAATCCGCAAGTGAGTTACTGTGAAATCCAATCGTTTGACTAAACGACGCGCAAGTGACCTGTCGCGTCGGGTGTTACCAAATTTTCGAATTGTAAATTGCTATTTTAATAGTTGAATATTCGAATATATATATGCCCAGCCCTACTCAGTAACCAGTAATTATTGACTCGATTGTTGTTATGTGAATAAACTTGCTTCTTATGTTTCATGTAAATTCTAACGTAAATCGTAACTTGGCTGCTAGTTAATTAAGGTACGCAAAAACGTTTGCGGCCCGCAGTGAATTTCTGGCTCGTTGCGGTCTCATTCAAACGCTCCGCGGACTCATTCGAGACCGATAAGGTAAGGTAGGCTACTGATTCTCTTTGGTCTCGCAGAGTTTTGAGAACCAGAAATGGTCCTTCGCGACTACCTGTCAATTATGAAATCCGGTATTCTAAAACATAATGAATTGATTTTTGTCTGACTGAAAGTGTGATTTTTCTGCACGACAAAATTAACTTATTGTCTATTATCTTGGCTTTCGTGTCTGTTTCGCTGAAAAGTTGTTGTTATTTTCGGGGTTTTTAGTTGTTGTTGCCCCCAATCGTCGTAGGCTATCAAAGTCCGTGCATAGGGATCACATAGCTGGTTAAATATTCTCAAGCCATATCAGTAATACCCCGCCCCTTAGATATTTAACAAAAAAGTATTTGAATATTCAGAAAAATACATAACACATTTGTATAAGTTAAAAATAGTTGTTTTTATTACTGATGACAAAATATCTACCACTCCCCAATTTTGAAACCCCTCTTCCCCATAAGGTAAAAAGCTTGGGGAGTACTGCACAACATACATGGGCGGATAACTGCAAAAAAGAACAGATATATTTATTGGACACGAAATAGACCTACGGATCGTTTTGTTATTTTATTAGCTGTTGTGCAGGACCTTCGCCGAACTCTGAATTGGGCAAACTACGGCCCGCGGACCAAATACGGCCCGTTGGGTAATTCAATCTGGCCCGCTCGATGCTGCCACAACAAAACTAAACCAACTTTCGATTTGTTGAGATTAAATTTAGTTTTGGCACGAGGCTTATTGTTTCCCACTCTCGCTTTTTTGACACTGTAAATTCTGTTCATAAAATGTAACTTTTATGTCACACTTGGTCAAGGAGGCAAAATTTTTATCCCCTGAATCAAAACCTTGCTCTGGGCTATACGTAAATCCTATCCTAAGGCTATCACTTCTACTAGACTTTTCCCGCGATCTCACTATCCACACGTTTAGTGGCCATAACGATCGTTTCAAAATTTTGGTGTTATTGTTATTTTCTTTCGTCATTATCATTAAAAAATCGCTTTTCTCTTCGAATACTGGACCAATTTCTTCGGAATTTCTTTTCTCCCCTATGACGTCATCAAAATTAGGTGGCTCTACGTGCCCATATATTTGAGCATAGCTCTCTTGTTTTCTTTCACTTAGCGCTTCATGAGTGTACTTCGCAAATTCATCATTAAATTATCGAAACTGGGAAATATATTCAACTCAAGTTTCCGAGAGTTTGAAAATACAATTCCGGCCGTGCAGGCCTGGTTCGAGCATTTTCGAGCAGCTCTCTACTGGCATCTTCCGGAATTACTGCCGGCCCGATATAAGGACACGTCATCTTACTCCACGTATTGCTTGTGCGTAAAGTAGCCCAACCATTCTACGATGTCGCACCACTCTAATTGGCGACGTGTTGGCTTCTTCGAACGGCCATAAAATCGCTCATACATGAAAATAACATCAATTACTGTTTAAAATAACAATGAGAAAGTGGACACCATTTATCCAGAGTGAATTGAGCTCGGCACCTTCACCCTGGGCCAAACTCGATGGATGGGATAAGATTTATCCTGGGGGAGAGAAAAGCCGATAAGACGGCTTAATCGTATGGCGAACCACGGCCTCTCGTACGGTTACCATTCCATGTCGGGTATGGGATTAGTTAGTTATTTGTTTTCGGAAGCATGGACTTACGGAGGAAGCCGTAACCATGTGAACCATCCTACAGCGGCGAGGAGTGCAGCAATCCTCTCGCACATAACCATCCCGCACGGGATTCGAACCCACGCATCATAATTAGAGGTGCGGTGGCGAGCGTATTCCTGAGTTTCTAGATTCCTCATCGATTAGGAGTGCAGCCAAGAATTTGGGAATTATTGATTGCCAAGTTAAAATAAAAAATGAGATTTTTCAATAGTCTTGCGGGTTCAAACGCGTTTCAAGCCATGAAAAATTATTTGTATGACACAGAAAAATGATTTTTTATATTTCAAAAAGGAGGGGTTCAGACACTCAAACCCCGCCCCCGGGCTATCCCCCCTTGTGTAGCGTGTGAGTGAAAGAACTCATGATAACGTTTGATAGTGAAATGCAGTCAATTTCATATATTTATGTGATACACACAAATGGCCAACTACCTAGCACTTTCTGCGGAAGTAGACTTAATTTCATAAAACACTTATATTGCATAATATTGCTTGGACATCGAAGAAAATCACAATCACAGAGGTTAAGATCTAGGAGTTTAGTGCAAATTCATCCTGACACCACAGATTAATTCTATTTCATTTAACAAGAAGAATTTGGCTTAAGCATTCCTTTAAATTTCCCATGAATTCATGCAATAGGCAATAATAGTAACTATACATATCTACCACACAGACTTAAAATTATATTCCCACATTCAAAATTAAATAATATCTTCAGTAAAAGGCGAAAAAAGAATAATAAAACGAACCTAAATTTTACTATAGTCAAAACTCAATTCTTTGGCAAAAAAACACCATTATATCTGATAAAATATCTGAACAATAAAACATTGAATTAAAACAAGGGAGCAATGCACAAATAAAAGACATAAAAGCACCAGAAGGACAGCCCCCGATACATATATTGAGAATAAACCACATGCTGACGCAATTTTTTAAAATCAACAAAATCGGGTAAACAATGTTAAAGTAGAGAGCTAGTTTAACTACTTGGAAGATTCAGATAGGATTCCATATTTATTCCAGGGAGATGAAAGCTGATTACGGCTTAATATAAAAGGCGAACTACGACCTCTCATCCGGTCATCCGCCCATGTCGGGTACAGGATTAGCTAGTTATTCGTTTCAGATGCACGGCTTGTTGCTGACTAGAAGAAATTTTCATTGCAACAACCTAGCAAGTTCTTATACCAGTGCTTGATGCCCAAAAATGCTTTAGCTGTAAGTAATCCAACATATGAGAAAAACACATCTGGATTGAATATTTAAATCAAATAATCAGAAATGTCCAAAACGTACGTATTCAGTGTATTCGAAATAGTAAAATATTAGATTTAAGACATCCCTGGATAACATGCACAGTTGCTTTGCATTCCGCATAATATCTCTCCAAAACGAGAGTAAACCAAAAATATAATTATGAACAAGAGTGTCCAAAATGAATCAAACATTCTAATACATTTAAAATTAAGCGTAGTTAATATTGTTTTATCGGGTGGGGTAATCATATACGCATTATGATCTTCGCAATATTCAAACTCAGTGAATACTGAAATGTAAAAAACTGCGGATTTCGAATAGGGGCTTCATTACGCCCTCACAAGCAGAAGAAACTCAAAACTAACTAGCTAATCCATTGTTTTCAAAATTTGGCATCATTGAAGGGAAATTATTACTGTAAAAAATCAGCCTATATTATATTTTTCATTCTGATATTCAAAATTGAGAAATTGACTACAAATCAGAATTCTAGAATATCGAACTATACTACGCAGCAATACAAAACAAACAATGGTCGACACAAAATTAAAATATCCCACTCAAATTAACGAATAGACAGATAATTGCACTATACTTTTGCGAGATCAAATCCAAAGCTCGGCCACCAGGTTTTAAGAAAAAGGTATTAAATATTGTATCTGACAATAAAAACATGGGCTGCGGAATGGGAGAAAAATTCTAAAAAGCGACTTCACTTGGACTTAGATTATGAAAGAATAAAGAAGAATTTAGACAATTTGACATATTAGGACGGAAACTATGTTTTTAAAATTTCTTTTGCTCAAAGCAAGGTATCAATCCCTCCCTCAACCTCAAGCTTCAAATACTTTTTAGACCCTTAAGACTTGAAAAAACACGTTTTCCAGGCCCCTTTGAATTTACCACCTTGTGAATACATTTCGACACTACTTTTTCCTGTGAAATTTAGATTTAGAACCGCTGCTCTAGATCACTGGGAGTTTGAAAAAAAAATAAAAGTGTCTCCATCCCCACAGCCCAGCTGAAACGGGTCTCGTGCAGTTTAGTACCACAACAACTTCTAGTGGATGTGGCGTAACAATATTCGCATATGTCACTGTAACCCCCACCTGACTACCTCATCCGAAAATTGTGTCACTACAACGTCACAACTCACAGCATGGCGTAATGAGGCCCTCAAAAGTATACGGAGGATCGTCCAAAACCTACATACGCTCATCCGCAGTCGAGTAAGCCATGTCACTTGTCACAACGATCCTGATATAAAAGAGATCGCTGATGTTAGTGAGTTCGTTACTGTCGGCGCAGACGCCATTTCCGGTGATCATCGCTATACTTTGGCAAGCTATATGACAGGACTGTGACGTCGCAGTGACATCATATATGGATGACGTATTCAGATGGGGGCTAAGAATAACATATGCAAAAATGGATATGACAAGCCCACTAGAAGTACTAATTACACTAGACCCACTGAAAAACAATCACAAATGAAGGTTAAATGATACCATATTCCCGCATAAACAGTCCAGTAAGTACCAAAGCAATAAAAGATAAAAATATGGCAACCCAAACTGGGAATAGATATCTGCTAGATAGTTTCGTTAGTTTGCAAGTATTGTCAGCTGAAACTGAGACAAGCGAAGCATCACAAGCGCCAGTAATTGCTACGACGGCTTCAGTATTTGGTAAAAATGAGACACCCGTCACGAAAATTCCATGCAAACTTGAAATTTTTTTAACACATTGTAGACTGAATGATATATATATTGCCACTGATCCTTCCATAAACCCTAAACCTAAGAATACTCCATCATTACTGACAGCTAAGGATGAAATTGCTTCTTTTCCTGTAAACTGTATAATAGCAGGAGAAAGGACGCTGTTTTTCGAATTTTCCATACCATTTGCACGCTTTCTTGCCCATTTCGTTAAACATCCTTGCGGAATTTTTTTATCAGCACCACGGCCTGCTCGCACCGGTGTGTGAGCGGTGAAAAGTACGTAAGACGTTTTATCCTCGATCACTGAAGCATATCGACAGCAACGAAATCGATACCCTCTTGTTACCATTTTTAAATTCCAAGCTGAGTGAAGATCAATTTCTTTATTTCCGTTTACGGAATTCCAAATTGACGCGCCGCCATCCCGTGCCACGGAAACCACGTGTAACCCATCAGGACTTATATCTACATCCGTTACATCATCTTTATGTCCGTGTGTGCTGAAGCGTTTCGTGAAATCCGGTAGACTCCAGCAGCGGACGTAGCCATCGGAACCTCCAGTGACGAGTAACTTTCCATTTTTACTGATTCGGACGGCTTTTTGTAACGGGTCAGAGCTAAAATCCGTTTCTAAAGTACGCAGAAGGTTAAATGTATAGTGCTCTTGTTTGTTTTCATCCGGTTCCACTGGCTGTGACTTCTTTTTCGATTTTCTCTGCTTCAAATTGGTCGGTGTATTATCTCCCCCAGCTACTGATTTTTTCACTACGGAGTAGACGCTGCATTTCCCCCCCAGCCCGACAGCGAGCATCGCATCTTTATCTTTTCCTTGATTAAGCACAGAGATGTTCATAGAAGCAGTGTCGCCAGTTTCTAGTCTTTCGACCGGGTCAGCTTGAACAACTCTTCCAATTTTTTCTATTTTCAAAATATCAACTGCATTTGGAACGCCGGTTTTAGCCGCCCCTCCCCCGCCCGCAACCACTATATGATTATCATCCAAAACACTGCATGCGTAGATTGGGTAATCCAATCGGCATAATCCAGACATTCTATGAAATACTTGTTTCTTAGTCCTAATCTGTGAATGGCAAGAGATAAAAAGACATAATTTTTAAAGCAAGTTTGTTCAAGGCGAGTATCGAGTTACCAACTAAGAATGGAAATACAGGGTGACTTGCATCGCGGTAAGAGGTCGTAGTTCCCAATGGCTCGGCGGTGTGGCGCATCGTGCTAAGCGTTAAGAATACGCTCGCCACCGCATCTCTGATTACCCTTCGTGGGATCGCAAGTTTGAATCCCATGCGGGGATGATTATGTGGGAGAGGATTGCTGGACTCCTCGCCGCCGTAGTGTGGTTCACGTAACCGCTGGTCGGTTACGGCTTCCTCCACCATCAAGTCCATGCTTCCGAAAACAAATACCTGGCTAACTACTGAACTAATCCCATACGGTACCCGACCTGGACTGGTAACCAGACGAGATGCCGTGGTTCCCCATATGATTAAGCCATCTTATCAGCTTTCCTGTCCCCCAGGATAAATATCCTATCCAATATCTGAATATGCTGATACAGTGATACTGATACCGGTATGATTTAAGCAGCCTCATCACTTTTCTTCTCCCCCTGAATAAACAGAATATAAATTCTAAGTGTAAGATAATTGCTGGTCTGCTCCCCGTCAAAGGCTGGTTATGGTTCACGTACATGCATCTGAAATAAATGAAGTAACTGGATACGGTAACTAATCCTATACGAACAGGGGACTGGGATAAATTTGAAAATCCTAAAAAAAAATCCAAACAACAGCTAACGCTAACAGCTAACACAACATTATGATACATACCGACTTAAACCACTTCTCGCGACAACGGTACCGTACGGGGCCGGTACAGCACCGTATAAGTTAATTACTGTACCGGAAAACTAAGCAGGCAGCAAACGAAATAGCTGGTTTCCCAACTTCAATAATAATTGATCTGGACAAAACCCACGTACACAGAAATATCGGCTACTAACTACCGGATATCCGGAGTCAAGTTGATTGATACTGCAATAATTGTGCTACGGTTTTATATCGTACAACACAGTATATCAGTTTTCGTGTCTTGTTCCTTACAAAAAAAAAACTATTATGTCCTCAAGCAGGTTTACGAACTAAGTTACTTGTGATTATCAATATGATATATTTTCGGGCCCATCAATATATTCCAGACGAAAAACAAGCGCACAAAATTTAAAACAAAATCACGGAAAAAGGCCGGTAGAATTTCATGTATTTGTAGACGATAATACGTGGTATCGTGAAAAGAATCCAGCCGATTTAGAGACCAACCAAACCAAGGTTCGTGAACTTAAACTGTTACTGACTTTTCCCACTCAAGTTTTTTAAACCTACGTATATGTTCGCCCTCTTGCCCACGCAAACCCTTCCGGACATGCAGTTTCGTTCCTCTGGGTGTTGCTGCTCTGTAAGCAATTTGGGCTCCCCGCGACTTCTCTTCCCCAGTAAAAATGTGTGTTAAATTTCGTTTATTTTTTTCTCAATTTCATAAGTTATTTTTTTACTAGTAGGGAAAAATAAATTTGAGTACTACTGCCTCCCTAATTCTTACTACTTTTTAAGCATTTTGAAGCTATCCCCGTCCTTCTTCCCCCCACCTTCCAAAAAAAAAATCCCCGTAATCTAAGAATGGATATTTAATGGATTAGGAAGCTAATACCTAAACTCACCGTTTCCCGACCAAAAAGGAATTCCACCCCGCGAACCGCCACAAGGTGAGCAAACTGTAAATTTGATGGCGCCATCACGGACAAAACAAAAACGAATCCCACAGACATTTTTGAAATAAATAAAAGTAATAGTCTTCTAGAGACATCAACAAGCTTTAACCCCTGAAAATTTCAAAGAAATTGGTTCAACTGGGACCTATTTTTATATATATATAATGACGTAATACGACGCTTGTTGTCGCCTACTCTAGAGTAGATTGAAATAAACGTAAATATTTATTTCACACCGCAAATGCCGTAAAATTGCATTCATTTTTTTCAAGTTTGGGGGGTAGGGGAAATCGCGAAGTAATTTTTTACTCCAATGACGTCATAACACCAACCATCTAAGTGGGAGAACAAATCCCATAGAGCCCGCAGAAATTTTTGGAATGAATAAAAAGAATAGCCTTCATCGACAACAACAATCTTTGAGAAATGATAATATTAAAAATAGTGGTCTAGTAATTAAAAAACAACAAGAAAAAGATGAAGAAAACAACTTAATAACAATTAAGATATGGGGATAGGATTTACATATTTATCCTTGGGGAGAGGAAAGCCGATAAGACGGCTTAATGATATGGCGAACCACGGTCTCTCGCCCGGGTACCAGTCCACGTCGGTATGGGATTAGTAACCAGATATTTGTTCTAGGTGCATCTACTCGATTATGGATGAAGCGTGACCGACCAACGGCTACGTGAACCATCCTACGGCGCCGAGTCCACCAATCCTCTCGCACACAACTATCCCCGCATGGGATTGATTCCAACGTGCCAACCCACGCAGGGTAATCAGAGCTGCGATGGCGAGCGTATTCCTAACGCTTAGCCATATCGCCAGGTACTCCCATAGTATGTGAACCAAGATGGCGGACACCGGAACGTAGCATGTGTAACAGGTTAGGATTAAGCCATAATTTTATTCGAATTTTCCTTATCTTACGAGTTTGGGGACTAGTCAAGTGACTCCCGCAGTATTTGTACCTTAAATTATGGCCTAAACCTAACATGGTACGCATACTACGTTTCGGTGTACGCCATCTTAGTTCACATACTACGGGAGTACCCACCGCCAAGCATAATGACATCAAAACGCTCCGTAGGTTCGCTCCATGTCGAATAAAAGTAATAGTCAATCGTTTATTTTCACACATGGCGAAAGTATACATTGGACATACAGATTTTAAGGAAAAATAAAAAAAAATGCATATCAATGTGAAGAAAGACGCGATGAACTAGTAATGGTTATCGAGCAGCGACACCTTCTATCGCCTGCTTGAAATCGATTTACCCACTAGAAGCGGGGTAAAGCGATTACCTCATTTTCAACTTCAAATAACATGATAGTACCTAACATACATATTAGTGGCCTCTGACACTCTTTGCCGGATATTTTATTTGTTTTCCCACAAAGATGACCCTCTCATATCGGGAAATTCCCATTGCAACGTCTAACTATGTATAGCAAAAATGATATAACTTTCTATGACGTCATAATATGAGTATTGTTGCTTCATAGTAGTATAGTCGAGTGTTTATTCTCGCTCTCTTTCGCGATGACTCACAATGGCTCGATATTGTATTGAGTATTAGAACAGATGTTAAGTGACGGAGAGTATGGGAACTGAATTAACTTTGAATTATGTAGTTTCGTATCTTGTTGCTTTTTGCCATCTGTTTGTTCGGGTTCCATTACATTTGAACCCACGTACATTTGAACCCATGACAATTGCACCTGTATGCTATTGCACCTATGGAATTTTCTTTGTTTCACGGATAGTTGAACCCATACTAACCCTAACCCATGGGTTTTAGCACCCGCATATAGATTGAACCCGTGGATATACGCAGTGGTTCAAATGTACATGGGTTCAAATGTACGGTCACCGTTTGTTCGTGGCCTCATGCGAAGCGAAGGGCGTGAAACACTCAATCTTTTACTGACTGCTCACCACTTTAGTATACCTACTACTCTGGCCACGTGCCGCCGACAACGTCCCCTTTTTTGGGTGGCACAAGAAACGCGTTATGGTAGTATTTTACAATGTGGCACTACATTCATTTTTAGACCTTCGTGCGCAGTTTCAATGTATTTTCAGTTGGCGGACGCGGGCGATCTCTAATGACAAGGACTGGTGGCGCTATAAACGCCTTTCAGCAAACACATATGTAGCGTTACCGGCATATTCATATTCTAGCCAACTCTATGTAAAATGTTGCAATAATTCAAAGATGCTCGTGTACCACAGGTTGGGAACAATTGATTTATAAAATCGTTTCTACATATCAGTAGATGGGTAGGGGATCAGAGGTTTTTGTTTAAATATTTTGTAGCAAGCTCTTGCTACCGATCAACACCCTATCAGTGAGTTATCACGTTTCAAATCAAAATACCAAATTAATAATTATTCAATCGGGGTTGGAATTTTGAATTCCCAGCGCGATCTGCATTCCTAGCCCTTAACCCTAACGGTAGAATTACTATTTTTTCGAGCGTTTGCGAGGATGTTGTTTTTGGCGGGGACTTTGTACAAAAAATCCAAATTTTGAAACCGAAAACGGTTTGAAGATGCATAATATGAATTTTCAATTGCAATGAATTTATAATCGATGACGACGACACGAAGAGCCTCACTGATTGATTAATCGATCGTGCGTTTCATTCAAGATTGAGAGAGTTGACCCTTGAAAGTCCCTGATTTTTTGAGGGCGTTGGTTTTTGCGTTTCGGGATTTCGCACGTTGCTGAATTTATTTACTATGAGGTCAGTTTAAGTTGAAATTGGAAGATGAGTAACAACAAAGCACGAATTCTGCCAAAATTGGGTTCATGAAGTGATAAAGCCGTGGTTCTCAAACGATGGAGCGCACCCTACAATGGGGCTTAGACATTTTTTTAGGGGGCTTGGGGCTAATTGAAAATGAAAATAAGTTATTGTTAGATTTAATCTGCCCGCCTTATTTTGGATATTTACATTTCTTTAATATATACACGCATTTTCAACTTGTTTTTTTAATACTTTCGCCTTACTATTTGTTATTTGTTTGTTTTTCGAAGTGGGGGACGAGACCTGACAAATTCTAAAAAGTGGGCGTAGCTTAAATAGTTTGAGCCCCTCCGGAAAGGGGCCACAAAAAATTGGAAACCACTGTGATAGAGTATAGCGATTCATACAGTAATTTTTTTAGGAAATTTGAACTCACAGATACTTCATTCGACGTCTGTAATTCAGTTAAATTTAACCCTTCTTATTTTCATAGTAATCGAAGAAACTTCGGCGCTCCAGAAGTATGTGTATC